AGATCAGATGAAAAGGTGAGTGAAAGTTTGTATGAAATAAAAAGAGTTTTGTGTACAGGTGGTAAATTAAAATGGGGGGAGATGAATACATTGTGCGCATAGCTTTCTTGGTGGAAAAAGAGAAGAAAAAAAAGGGTATTAAAATGTACAAAATAATATCTCTACATCTATCTATTTACAAGTATAGAATCGACCCATCTATTCATCTGTCGTGTTATCTTGCAAGTCTAGTAAGTAATTCCCCCCCTTTTTTTTTTCAATCATCGATCTCTACATATCTCTCTCTCTCACTCTCGATATCTCTCTTTTTTTTTCTACAAGAAACTCCTCTCGTCATTCGATCACTTACTGCAAGATAGGCACTATCCCAGTTACGCTCTGGATAGGTGCTTGACCAGTCTGGTCAACATTGTTCACATTTTCTTCAACACTCATAACACTATTTGGAAATGCCAACGATCCGCTCGCGCCAGGTGTTGATGGAACAGCGACAGGTTGTTGTACTTGAGGGTAGGTTATGGTCGAGCTTGTGTTGGAGGAGGAGGCTGCTGGTAGCAAGAGCTGTTGATTCATTTTCGCGTATTAATGTGATTGTGAATGTAAATCAAGGAGGGGGGGGTTTGTTGTTGTCGTTTTCGCAAGTCTGTTGGACGTTTTATTAAAAAGAGATCTCTTTCCCGGGTCGTGACAGAAGGTTGTAGTAGTAGTATTTATATATTCAAGTTTCGTTAAAAGGTTTGTCGTGTTGTGACGTGACTCGTTGCTTCTATGATGATGACGTGTTTGATTGGATGAATTGCCAAATATACAGATATATTGATGATCACGTGAACGATGTAGATGGTAGTTTGAGAAATTATTTGTAGAAATTAGATTGATTTATTATTCTGGTCTTTTTTTTTTTTCCTTTCCTTTTTCTTTTTTTTTTTTTCGCCTTGTGATGACGACAGTCGTAGTAGTGAAGTCGGAATTGCAGGTGCGGGGGGTGGGGGCGAGTGGGTATTTATAGGGAAATAGGGGAGAATACGTAATCACATGAATGATTGGTTTACAGATAGTGATCCGAGATCATTATGGTATCTGTAAATACGATTGGTCCAATACACAGCCATTCGGAGACACAACAAGGAAGTACGGATAACAGACGGATTATAAGTACATGGGTATAAATATTTGGGAGATAAAAATTTATTTATGCACGTAATATATTGAGTGTATTTAATGTGTTTGTGTGTTTATATAAGTATATATGTGTACCTATACAATTATATATATGGGTTTGTGTTATTTATCCGTGTGACACAGTTGTTAGTACTGATTGTGTGCATTTGTTACGCTAGAGAGCAATCTTTTCCATCAGCGTACAAATGCGAGTAAATCAGAAATAAAATAACAAGTATAAATACGAAGCATGTAACAAATGTATTTATATTAGTCCATTATGATTATATTTTACATAATTACTAATTTAATTAGTAATTTTATTGTACAATCTCCTTGTTCAACCTTTGCCATATTGTGCGTTCCAATCTTGTTGTCACCTCCGTATTGCATTTGTGTTTATTGTATTTTGCATGATAGACACATTCCGGATTTCATATTAAGGAGACTATTGTCATGTTGAAAACCATATTTAGCCCCTGGCAAAACTTGAGCTTTCAGCCTCCGCCAATAATCAATACCGAAAAAATAAAGAACTCGTTACAAAGTGGGTGGGGGGACGATGCTGTCAATCAATCGGTCCTTATTTTTTTTTTCATCCTCGGCAGTCGCTCCTTTATAATAACGCCTTTTACTGCGGATAACGAATAGTTGCACATGGTATTCATATTTGTTCAATTATCACGGATTAAAACGGAGTTATTTTTGAAATGTTTGTGCGTTCCATGTGACCAAAAGCAAATCTAAACAGATATTAAATTATATGGGGAATACTTTTGCGACTTTGCAAGTTGAACATTTACGTCATCCGTAGTTGACCCATAGTGGAAAAAAAAGAAAAGAAAAAGGCAAGAGCAAGAATGTATATTATATAATTATACGCAGTAATAAGAAAATCCTCTTTTTGCGCCAGAACTTGTCCAGCGAGTTTGTTATGGTCTAGCAAGCCCTGCATTTATAAGCTGGCATAAAACTTGGCAAAGCTAATGGGCAAGCTGTCATGAGAGGTGGTGTATAGGACGCACATTTACAACTTACGACTTGCGACTGTCCCGCTTCATAGACCTAGTCTTGCATATAGTCAATGGATCTCTGCAGAGTGAGTTACAGTCACTAAAAGAATACGACAGAGTTACAGTGACAAGAAAAAGCAAGAGTGTGAAATATTTGTCCCAGAGGAAAAATGGGCGATTGGGGAAATGTGCGCAAAATTCCGAGTTTTTGATCATGCTGTGGGGTGGGCTGAACAGCAAGTAGGACAACTTATTGGACAATTTATTGGTCAACCTATTGGTCAACTTATTGGTCAACTTATTGGACAAACCCACATAACCATTTACAGAACAGTTTGCGTACGCAACAACCCGCAGAGTCTGATTTCTTTTGTTGCGATCATCTGGAATGATCAAGTGCAGCTATTTCCAAGAAGGTATCGAAATGGGCTGGTTGACACACAAATCATCCGGCGCTTGTCTAAACCGGGAAGACTTTGTTACTTGTTTAAAATCATGGTGCCAACCGATCTCATCCGGATGTTAGCCTAAGAGATTGCTTTTTTGTCGCATTCGACCATTATGCACTAAAAAAAACCAATTGCATCTATACTGTTCAAACACTTCCTATTGTCCCCCCCTCTGCATCCAGAAAAAAACCAAAGCATGTGATGTTCGTTGCAGCCCGCCCCATAATTAGCGTCATAAATAGCATTCTATAAGAACTTTATACAATATTGCATTATTGTATGATAATACTCGTATTCACGAAACCCTTTTTTTTTTTGCCCATTTTCAGTTATCTGATGCATGTGACACTTATCTAATAATTTACTTGTCAATCTACTTTTGACAATGAAAAAAGTGAAAAAAAAAATTTTTTTTTTCTTTACTCGCCATTTATTGGCACGAGCTTTATCTTTGATTACGCATCACATGACAAACAAACGTGTTCCATTATAATAATAACGTTAATTAATATTAACTGACATGTACCCCATTCTGCTCTGACAGATCAATCCACCCTTTAAACTTTGTTGTGTCTTGCTGCTCCTTTTCCTGTCGCCATTCCCCATCAGTGATGGCCCTTTCGTCCTCAATCTTTTGCTTGTAGTAAGGATAGAATTGGTCCCATGGCAACAGAAAACTAAACTTGGAATCATATATGTGTTTCTCTCGTATTTTCGTTTCCAGACCGGGCCCGCATCTTGCAACATACATGGATGTTTTGTCAATTATTTCTCGCACGTCTAGAGGCGGAACACTTGTATAAAAAATAAGAGATTGATGAACAATGGAACAGAAAACGTAAACAAAAAATTTTTTTTCTTGCTTTGCTTACACGACAGGTCCAATGTGTTTGGATATCCCTCGTGATTTTGATCTCCATGAAGTTTCGGACGTGGCACAGAATTCCAAATAATAATCGTCCAGAGCATCGAGTATAGTCCTATTATCATCGCTCGTCTCTGGTTTTTCTTCTTCCTTTGTGGTTTCATTCTCATCTTTCGCCACCTCTTCTGTCTTTTTCTTGTCTTCATTTTCACCCTCGTCATCGTCCTCAGCTTCACCCTCGCTCTTTACCTCTGCAACATTTCTCTTTTCCTCCGACTCTTCCCCTCCCTCGACTACTGCAGCGGCGGCGGCCGCAACCTCATCTTCATTGTCACTACCACCATAATCGAATAATCCAATCCTCAGCTGCACCCGTACATGACGATAGTAAGGATATAGCGGATCGTCTTTGTTTAGAAATGAAAAGCTAGGATTATTTGCTTGCTTGGCTTGGATGACTATTTCCATCTGTGCATCGTTGCTCGTATTGAGGAACCTAGCTGTACGTTCGATGATTTCATCTATACGCTGATCGGACGGCTGTATGGAACGATGACAGAATAGTAGGAAGGACAAGAAATGATATTGTCCGATGTGGTAGTTAAAGAGAGGTGTATAAGTTCATAGAGTATGGACTCGAATAAAAAGACAAACAATCGCGCGGAATAATTATCCAAGATGATATGAAGAAGATTATGCATACAAATCAGGCTGTCTCGGTCATTTTTATATTCTATAAAACATGCATCAAGACAGCCCGATACAACTTGTATGGCGATCCAATTAACGAGATCATAAGAATAGAGCAAAATCAATGCCCCTTGATTCATATGATGTTCTTCTTTTTCCTCCTAATAACAGATATCTATAACTGAGATTATGTTTATAGTTCTATTATTGACAGATAATGATGACATACTGTTGCCATTCCCTCAGGAACAGTAAATTTGGCTACGTAAGCCTCCCCAGTTGCAGATTGGTTCTCTAAGCACGAACAGAAACGATAAAATAAATAAGCGAATCAAAGCTTTTAATTTCAAGAAACGTGTCATCGCTTAACCAACCATCTTTCGGCACTTGTTCATCTCCCTCTTTGCATTCGTTTTCTTTTTCAACTTTTTCAGAATAATCATAGCCAATCTCGTTCCCCTCTGCTGCTCTCTGTTTCTGTCTTCGCTTCTCCTCTGTAATGTTCACATAAAAATTTTTTTAAGTCGACAGATAGCGCATACGCCATAAGACCAGAGTCTCTCACACACGTTCCACTCGTCATAGATCCCCTTATCAGACAAGTCCTATCCTCTATGCTACTCGTCCCTCGTCCTTTGTATCTCGTCTCTTATCCCGCCGGCGGATTCCCTTAATTACCAATATAAGATTCCCTCTCTTCCTCTTCCAAATAATATAAATCTTCCGCATCCGAATCCAAATCTGCCCACCGCTCTTCCTCACACAATCGGTCTTCTTCGATTTCGTCTACCGTTTTCGTTAACGTATATACTCCCTTGCGGAACTGTCCGCGATTGTCAAGAAGATTCCGTACATCATATCTGCAAGTTGAAAGAAGGAAGGAATTCGTTTGATGCGCCGAGAGGGAAGAAACGCAAAAAGGGTTTTTTTTAAAGTGACAACAATAAGGAAGACGTAAAGTTAGTGAGTTGTAGTAAGAAAAGCGGATAAGTGAGAATGGGTGAGTGAGGGTGGGAAGTAGATCAGGAAACACGACTGTGTGAACTCATCGGTATGCACTCTACTCATCATTTGGTAATGGTTCGTAGCTCACGCGCGATAGTCGACAATCTCGTTTTATGTATGCTGCGATATATTTGTTTTAATCGCTTCCATCAAACAATTTCCTGAGAACAGAATGTTTGAATGATAATTTTCATCCTTCTCCCTCACACCTCCTCCCTCACAACAGCAATCGCCAAAAAACCGACTGCAGTTGCGTTTCCACACAATTACATCGTCAGATACGCTGGGTTTTTTTTTTTTACCCACTGTCAAGCGACTATTACCTTCAACCTTCTAAGAGAATTAGTCATTGAGTTATAACAAAATACACACAAGAAAGAATTGAATTACTTTCGATCGCAAACAATGTGCCTCGAGGGGGAGAAGACGTTCAATAAAGAACCAACTCCAAAGGAGAAAAACGCCTCTTTTTACTCCAAAGAGTTCTCCTCCTTCCCCTCGCTCTCTCTCTTTGGTCGCAATAATTATTCTAATCATTTCTGAGGGGTTGTTTCTCTAACGAGATTTTTGCTCCACCGAATATTTTCCTCACTCACCTATCCAACAAAATAACATTCTGCGTCTCACCCCTCCACGGTATTAACAATTCCCCAGTATTAACTTTCTGTGCCATTTCGTCATCTTTAAATACTTTCGACTCGTATCCAAATATTAATAGATCCTCATATTCCTTTTCAAGCTCTCCGACCAATTTCTGTTTCTTGCGTTGGTGCTTATTCTTTCGTGACTTGTATCTTGCCGAATAATCGGGTCGGGTAGAAGGTCCTTGGTCTTGTGTAGAGTTCTCGGGAAATAGAGTTTCACTGAAGAACATTGCTGTGTGTTTAGAGTCGGGAGAAAAGAATTGGAAATAACGTTATAGTGTGGGTTGGGTTAGGGTTGGTATTGCCAAAATTATGTAATTTGATACAACCTAGCCACAGTCATGTTGTACAATACAAATTATACGTCGCGCAATGGGGATTAGCATTAGTATGAGTACATGATTACTGATAGGAAAGTCTTGCCACTGTCGATATGAATAACTCAATTGCTAACAAAATAAGGTAGCATTTATTGTTGAAAATAGTTTATTTAACGCTTGGATTAATTTCTTAGAAAATGTATATTGCGCACTTGAATTGTAAATTGTAACTTTAACGCTAATATTGGGCGCGTATCGCGTCTTGAATCGATTATTTATTATTGTCATTTTTTCTAATTTTTTGAAACCTGTTCACTTTAAAGTTCAATTTTGGTACCATTATTCCAAGTAAACACAAATTTGCATAACAATCCAATCTTATTTTTATTTTTGCTGCCATTTTGATTATTGTTGAAAAACAGGAGAATGCAAGGCTGAAGAGGACAAGACGAGGCTGGAATGGAGTAAAAAATGCTCATTTGAAACAAGTAAAAGAATTATAAAGAATTCTTGCTGTTTTATCACTTGGCCAATAAAGTTTATGACTCAGGCATCAGGGACATAATAATAGATATACAGATTTGTTTGTCATCATATAGTGTTTTACAGCAAGCCCTCAAAAATCGAGAACATTAAATTATTTATTTCATTGAGCCATTGCTTGTAATTAATTGCTTTACTTAAGCGGTTTCTAATTTCAGTTTTCGAGGGACAAGTAACAAGATTGTCGTTTTTGATGTACTTTAATAATATGACAAACTGTTGTTTTATAATTTTAAAAGGTTTACTGATTTTGGATATTAGTTGGTTTTTGTAAAGACAGACAATTTCGGCTTTCAGTAATGATACATTTAAAATCAAGAATGCTGGAAGGCGGTGAGTGTTTTATTTATATTTGCTTAAAATGCGAAAATTACATACGCGTCTGGTCAACATGTACGATTTTGTGATCGCGCGTTTATCCATCTATAGATAGCATCCATCCTATCCCAAAATTCAACCAATAACAGCCTTCACCAGCAAATCCGCTTTATCCTCATCTATGCTTGTCTGGTATTCTCTTTTCGCTTCCGTTTTTCCATCTGAAACATGTAGCCACAGATTTACTTGATGGTTACAAAATAAACGTCATTTTTAGAAGATCCGAGTAAGTATAATTGTTGCAAATTCTTAATTAAACAAATCGGAGAGTTTATATATTAATATATTGTTATAAAAAGTACTCTGGCACGTTTTCTAAAAAAATGTCGCTGAAAGATTTTCAGTAAAAGCGAAGCGCGCACATAAATATTTATTGTCACTTATCGATCTAGTTCAGCACCATTCTAATTTCTTGCCAATAGTACCCTTTTTTTGAGAAAAAATCAACTTAAAGACAGGCGAGTATAGTTGTTGTTAACTAATAACGCGCAAAGACAATAAAGCTGCTTTGATTACGCCTGCTTCACTACCAAGTTAATGTAATAATTATGCCTAATGGAAAGGGAATGAGCTGCAACACTTTCGGATTTCGGTTAACCGGAAAAATTGATCTCTGGCTAACATGGTTCACTTTGTGCCTTCCCGTTTTCTACTTACAATCAGTTGGAGTTTTCCAACGATCTGTTGATGAGCGAGATACCTTTGCCCCCCACCCCCTGTATATACATTTTAATTTAATTACTATTAGCATCAACAAAGGAAAATACTTTTGTTTGTCCGGCCGTCAGTGTTCTAATATCAGAGTTTGGACAAAGTCTCGCAAACCGATTCATCAACGTTTTTGACATTTTAATTATTTTTAGCCGATCTCTGATAAAATGAGGCCAATCTTTTTTCGATGGGGGACCGCTTACTTCTGTGACAGAGAATTCTTCATCAATGAATGGGCACTCAAATTCCATGTGACCCTCTTGTAGGCAGTGATTTTTTATCGAAATTGACCGAATGGGTGGTTTCAGCTCTGAAGAAACAGCTGCATTCTTGAGTTTGAGTGGAGCAACTAGTAAAAAAATAAAATTATTGCTACTACTAATAACAAGTGAAGACTTGATCCTGCCTTACTTCACATATTCTCGGTATTTTTTCCTCTACCAATCAACTAATCTATTATAATACTTCTTTCCAATACACTCCAAACACAATATCTTATAACTACTCCCAATTCCTCAAAATCCCGGATTATTTCTATTCTTAATTACGCCTTTTTTACTGGCTCCATCACTGCCGAAGTTAAACCAATAATCTTATCGATAGAATCAATAATTGCTGTAAATTATGAATAAAACAATAACATATAATTACATTATAATATTCTTCAATAACATTATGCCAACCTTCTGGTAATTCAACTTTCCTCTTTGGTTTTTTGATAGTAATTTTATATAATAATAATCATCAGCTGACAAAAATTTAGCAAATCCGCTTTCTTCTCGAATATCCATTACATAATCAATTGTGAACCTATATTAATATATTAATAAGGTATTAGTTATCGTTATTTAAATAACCATTATCAGGAAAACATCTTTTAAATAATTACTGTGTCAGGCAGAGTATTAAAGAGATCTGTCACATCCATGGTTAGAGGACATTCAGGATATCCAATGCTTGCTTGTAAGTATCTCCAATCATTTTTCTGAATCCATTCAGGTTTGAATTTGCAACCTACTGATCTCTTCCCTCCATAAAGCTCAACCATGCCAATCTGCTCTTCACAATATCAGCATCCAAGTCAGATAGGGATAAGTATAAGTGAGAATGCATCCCAGAGTTTATATGGAATGTTCCAAGTGCCAACACCCAACACTGAGTCATCCTCCAGGCTCTGTTTGAAAATGCTTGTTGCAACAGGTGAAGGACACTTCCACACTCGAGATATTGCAAGCACCCATTCATGTTAAAAACTGCTGGGAGGTCACTGTGCTGAGAGAAGCAATGATTACCAAAGTAGGATTGCTCCAGCTGCCACACAACTGCTTTGGCAAGGCCAATATGGTGGTGGGTTGCAACCTTTTTGACTATTCTATCAGTCACAGGTTGGGTGAAGAGCTATTACAGATGTTAATTCTGTCTGTGAACTCTTTTCAAGTGGGGGTGTATTTCTGAAAGTGATTGAATGGTAATAATGAATTGGGTGGGTATCTAGATTAGATATCCTAGCCTGTAAAGTATGGAGGCAACAAGAGATAGCCAGTGCTTGTTCCAATGTAAGTTTGTTAGCCATAACCACTTTGTTTGTGGGGTAGTTATTATCGTAGGGTGATCAGTATGTGACATCACTGGCTGTCATTGATTCTATCTGACGTTCGTTTCACTATTTTAGTTCCGTACATATCACATGTTTGTTATTTGGTGTTGTCAATGTCCTCTTGATATGGGTCAGTGGTGAAAATACCAGACAAGAATGGCAATATTAGAACCCACAATTGGGATTGGGACAGGAGTTTGGATTACTTTGGTTTGCTATAGTAAAAGTCTAACAAGCTACGTACGTGATCGCGAAAGTCGCTAGTTACACATAACAATCATGTCATAAAATGTAGTCTTGACCAGACGCGTATGTAATTTTCGCAACATAAGAATGTATAAATAAAAACATTCAACACCTTCCTTGATTTTAAATGTATCGCTACTGAAAGCCAACGCAGTGAAAATTATCAGTCTTTACAAATATCCAAAATCAGTAAAACTCTCAAAATTTATAGAACAACAGTCTCTCGCACTGTTAAATATACATCAACAACGACATTTTGTTACTTGTCCCTCGAGAACTGGGGCGTCCAATATTATTGACATAAAGCCGAAAAGTTTCAGTTCATACTGCTAAGAACGTCAAACAGTGGACACTCATGAATAAAGTCAACGTTTTACCACAACCAATAAATTAGAAACTGCTATAGAAAGTATGCACGGAAAATAAAAGCAGTTAATTAGATTTGTATAGGAGAGCGCATGGCTATTGACCTGGTTAAGAATTTACCTACGCTTTCGTTAGGAAACAGTTAGCGACTGCTTTTAACACTACGATCTCTGCGTGTTTAATCCTCGACCACGATCAAGTACGGGACGATTTCTCTACCGCTGGATTAATTCGGTAGTATATCGTTTGAGGTTTGATAAGTAATGTAAGACGTTGAAAAGAATAATTAACTATCGTGTTCGCCACTCAGTTAATCGCGAGAATATAATACGATTAACCTTATCCGCTATATTGACTAGCGATTTCACAATATAACGAATGATATTCAGGATAGATTATAAAAGTGTAGGTTCGGATAAATGGATACTCGTTCATATAGGTAGTGAATAACATAGAAATCCATATATGACACCGCACATAATGTACAAAATCGTTACATAGCGATTGTTCAGACAGGCAATGTGCTAAAAATAGATTGTCATTCCGAAATACGTAGTGATGTCGCGTGCGTAAAACTTGTAACATGCTTTGTTTTAAATCGCGTACTAAAAATACTTTACTAGTGTATAATGGAAATGATGATTAGATTTAGTCTTCGCTTGTAGACCATCAATTGGATATACGCTCTGATATATAACGAACCGATCTTTGAGAGTCATAATCGTACGATAACATGGTCTTTACTTTGCGTTTGTAGACATGCGTATCATTCTTTTTCGTTAACACTTTTTTAACTCGTCTGTCCCGATTTTGATTTGCAAGGATATAATACCAAACAACTTGTAAAGTTAGCAGATGTATATCATACGTAGGAGAAACAGTTTACGAATAATCGATTTCCATGCCTCTTTACTTTATTACAATTAACTTGTTTAGATGCATTTGTTGCATGGTTTTTCTAATCTAGTAATCAAGAAATTCATGTTTGTAAAGTTATAAGACACAGCAGTAAGATGAATAATTTGTTCCAGGTTGAAGGTTTGCTGTAAAATATTAAATGATGACTGAA